TTTCCCTATCCAGGTGGGAGGGGAAGGGAATAGAGAGCATTGCTGTCATTTAATCGCCAATCCTCAGTCAAACCATTTCAATGACCTTGTCTGTATTATTTGCAATGTTACAGAAATATGAGAAATATTAAATCGACCCACCTTTCCCCCCATCCCATCCCCCTTCCTGCAACATAAGAAAACTTTTGTTTGTGCCTCCTTGGCACAAAAGAAACTATTGTATTAAAAAACTCAGCACAGAGGCAGGAAGAGCAAATCAGTTGTGAATATTTTTTGGGAAGACCAATCAGCTATATTGCTGCCATCCCACCCACATCTTTAAGCGATCTAGGTTGCATCAGCACAGTGTCAAGTAGCACCTGTGCAAGTACCAGCCTTAACTAGCAACTTTGCTTTGGTGGTTTATGTACAAAGAGCTTCAAAAGGTTCAAACACAGCACAGTTGCTGGTAGGCTAAATAAACTATATAATTTCACAGCTCCTTAACAGGGTGGCTGCAGTCAACAACAACATCTTGCATATTGCAGGGCAAATTAGTAGGTCATATATTTCATCATGAGCTCCCCTCATTACTTCTGGAATGGAAAAAAAAAAATAGGCTCAGCAGCAGGTCTCCAAGTGAGGAAAAGACAGTATGACCTGCCCTTTTCTGCTTCTGCTTAGCATTAGGAGGTTTTGCCTTGGTTTTAACTTAAAAGTTTATTATTAGAGTATGCAAGACATCCAAAGAAAAATGCAGAAAAGGCAGAGAACCTTCTGCCAGCATCCACCTTTGGTTTTTAGACCTTGACTGCTTTATAATATGATAACATCAATGCACCATGTCTAGCCTTTGATTTTTATAAAGGTTAATTAGAGTGGGTTGGCAAGCACATTTAAAGAAACTTAGTTTATTATGTTAAATAGGTTGAAGCCTGGGAGCCAAAAATACTGTTTGGTAGACAGGAATGCAGTCAAATCATGTAAGAATAAGGCTGAGAATCTGGTAAACAAGCATATTTTCTTACCACAGCTCACAGTTCCTTCATAAGGTTTACTGTGTGATCACAAGGCTTTCCTTTTAACATTATTTTTATTAACATAAAAAGTGCTACTTTTAAATGTTTCCATAGCAGAGATGAGTTTCTCAAAGTGCCTGCAAGATACCAATTAGGAACATCTTTCCTAGGAGACACTTCCTGAGTGCAAAGTTAGGATATGATGAAAAATGTTAGTTGTGGGCAAGGTCAAATAACAGGGTTGATTAAAATGCAGCTATGCATTAAACAAAGAAACCAGACTCAATCTCAAGGAAGCCAGTGGTTTGCTTAAGTTTCTAGGTAGCTCTAGGAATATCATTCTTCTAATATGACAGACTGATAGTAAACTGAAAATTTTCTCACAGTTAAAAGCTTAGCACTGACAAGAACCATCTAGAATCAGGTTTCTGTGTCGTGTAAAAGCGGCTCTGTCTTTTTCTTTTGCTGCATTTTGTTTGTAGCCTGAGCAAAGGCATTGCTCCTGTCAGCATTACTCTTTCTTCTATTATTGTACCAGTTTCAGATTTAGTGTTGCTCTGTTCAGTGACCTCCTTTGTCTTCAGCTAGATGACTTTTTTAACTGTAATTTAATTCCTACTCTGGAGTACAATATTAAATTATTATTTTAGAAAGACCATATTTAAGTCACTCCAACTTAAATGCTGAGAAACTTGCAGGGAAAGCAAACCAACATCTTGTAGCAAACCATAATACTGCCATCAAATCACACTGCTCTGCTTTTTTGTATTGGGTTGTTGCATGCAGATCCAATCCTCAAAGCTCCATTCGCTACTCGCAGTACTCAGCATTGCATTCAGAACAGAACTGACTGCTGATGAGCAAATTCAAAAACATTTGCACTTCAGCTTCTTTCACCTAGCTTGTCAGTGGAAATGAAACACATCTCCAGTTCCACTGTATAAACAATTTATTTAGGAATATACAAAGATCCAACAGGATCTACTTGATAAGAAAACTTGAGAAGAAAACACAATTCTGTTACATAATGCACTAAAAATCCTTTGCAAAAATTTGGGAAGAATGTTAAAAAAAAAGACATAGCTTTTTACATGTGTATATTGGCAAGAAATACTGAAATTACTGAATTATTTTGCTTGTTGTTTGAAGAACTAATAAGAGCATTAATACTCCAAGCACTTTTGGTAATAGTTTATTCCAATTAGGTGTTCTCTTTCCAGATTTCTCAGACCTTCTATTAAAGAAAATCTTCCTCTGAGGTACATCAAGATGCCGAAAATAAAAATTTGCTTCTTAAGTCACCAATCAAGTTACCACACACTCTCAGTCTCTTTCTAACATGAAATAAATGTGTTCTAGCCTATATCCATTGTGGTCTCAACCATTTATTTAACAAAAAGGTAGAAACAGGCCAGAACAACACCATGAATTACAGAACAAACCATTGGCAGAAATCACCATTTTCTCCCTTCATACTTCCATCCTGTTCCTATCTTCTGCCTTCCTTCTTTGCTTTTATTCTTTCTGATCTATGGAGTAAACTGATTCTGTAGTGCATTGCTAGCATGGGGTGGCATAGAGAAAAAAAGCACAACACTGATTTGAAACTAAGGTTTCTGAGGTTTGCAGGATTTTAAGATCTACCAGGAGATGCTTCACCATAAAGTATCAAACTTACATATATCATATATGCATTTTAAAATATCACCACTCCAAATCCTGATTCAAGTTCTGCAGCCTACATATGCTGCTTTTCTATACGGTACAGAAATACTATGCATGCCTAATATTAAATAATTTATTTGCATAGTTAAATTATAATTAAGTTGCCAAATATTTTATCATTCTTTATGGATGCCTTTGTAAAATCTACAGGAAGTTAACTCCACTGCCGGATGCACACAGCTGAGTCATCTCTCTGTCCAGTTGCAGTCAGAAGGAAAAATACAGTTGTTCTTACCAGGGTAACATTCTGGCCAGCTTCCTCTGAAGCTAAGAAAAATACTTCATTGCATGTAAGAAGTGTCAGTAGAGCACCCTCTTGCATTAGGCTTCCAGCATTACAAGATGATGCCAAGTAGAAAACAGCAAGATGCTTGCTCTCCTTTGAATTGTAATTTTAACTTTTACTCCATCTATTAGGCAGCATGGAAGAAAAATATTTTAGCTGAAAAAAAAAGAGCAATGTCATAAGGAATGGCAGGAAAGAAAAAGGACATACTGGGGGGAAATGGCTAAAGTCTTCCAGGGGTTTCTGCTAAGGTCTTCTTGTGTATTGATTTCATAGAGTAGTTGCATCGCTCCATGAACGCTTGAACCTTTGTTCCAATTCAGCCAGGCCACAATGCTAGTCATATTTTGGCACGTAGCACGTAAAAGCTTTCATATTAGATACCAAACCAGAAGTGCCTACTTTATATGACTGCAATTACAAAAGCTTTGTAGTTTCAATTGACAGTTCACACAGTTACATTATTTAAGAATTTTTGCTTTTTGACCAGTTTCCAGATTCTTGTTGTCAGTCCTTTAGAAGACAAATCACACCATTTCAGATTCATATCTCCAGGCTTAACTGTAAGCAGTAATATGCTTCCCCAAACAGACCCACCTAGTTTTCCTGAAAAAGTATTTTTTCTCTTCACAGAAGTATTTCTTTTACAACAGCAAACTTTCTCCTCCAAACCCATAGTGGTCAACTTAGTATAAGCTTTTTTTTCAGCCTAGAGTGCAGCACATTGCTTCTTAAGTGATGATTTTTTTATCTTCTTGCTGCTGTTCCGTGAACAGGAAGTTGCAGAGCAAGGATGTGCTTTGCTGCATGTTTCCCAAGGGAACTCACAGGGCTTTGTGCAATAAAAAGCATAGTTAAAAACACATTTTTTTTAATTTTAATTATTTTTTTTTAAAATAAGGGAGGAACTGTTCAAACAAAAAGGAGCCATTCCTACCTGATTCTTCTTAAGCTTAAGGAAGAAAACTTTTCTGGAAACTTACAATCACTGTATATCCCAAGTACAAATGAGAAAATGTGTTTTTAAAATTAGAGGAAGACTAAACTAGCAAATAAAAAATTCAGTATTTTAATTTTTTATCTGTTCTCTAGTTGAAAATTCATCAGATTTTAGGAGATCAATCCTCATTGGCAATTTCAGAAGAGTCATCCCCTTCTGTTTCAATGCTTGCATCGCTGCTTCCAGTTTCTGGCCCTTCTAGGTGAAAGATGGGTATTTCATACTTTCCCAAGACTTTTCTTAATGAAATATCCCACTAACTTCTGTGGCCTCTGCTGATACTCCACAAGTACATCATGTGAGCTACTAATCTGATCCCCTTCAAGCCGATTCAGAAGAGTGACACACACTACAGCAGCTAGAAATAAAAAAAGAGCATTAGTTAGGAATGACATTCTGGCACTTTTACTGTCCAAGAATATAAGTATTTGAACAAACAGCTATAAGATTAGAAAATGAGAGAAAACAAACCCCAAATAATGGTGCATGATGCTGGAAGATGCTGTGGATGATTTATAACAAGAGTTACAAATAGTTTAAGACAACAGATGCTACACTAATAAAGCAAGAGCTGTCAGACAGCTGCAGATACTTCTTATAATGTCACAATTCTTACATTTTTCTGTATAGGAATTGTATTTCACAAGTCCCAAGCACCTGACTGGTTGGAAGTGATCAGAGATGTTGTGGCAGCTGTAGTTGCAGCCCTCTGCTATCTACCTTATCCCCAGCTTGAATCCCTGTGCTGTAGATGTCATCCCTAAAGAACCAGCAGATGAGCCACTTTGACATTCACGGACAAGGAGCACTGCAAGTACATGAAGATCTCATGGACCATCTCCGGCTCATCTGCTGCTTTTTAGTAACCAGAGCCCCAAAGGTAAATTCCCTCCTTTGACACAAACTGAGCTCTACCATCACTCTTCTGTATCTGGGGTTTCTGAAAGCTACACTTGGCAGAGCTCAAGCAGTAAAACACATCACAGACCTACAAAGCAGAGACAGCAGGAAGGAATAAGCTCCCTAATGGGTTGAGTTTTTAACCACTGTCCAGTCAGAAGGAACTGAGGATGCTTGATATAACTACTGGCCTTTTTGCTTATTTTTCTTCATTTTGTCCTCCTTGAGTTTAAGGAAGTTTGAGAAACATTAGTGTTTTAAATAGGCAACTCCTTGCCAAGGAAAGTGAGGCACTATAGCATGGTAAGCAGAAAGGGAGACTGTATCATAGTATTTACAAACACTTTTTTTCCTTAATCTTTTCTGAAATTTAGCTTGTTGAAAAAAAAGTTTTAAAACAGTATATGATTGATTAGTAATGGTTTATTCATGATGCTTCTAAAAATCTTTAGCTGTTTAAGAATTAAAGCCATAAGTCTACACAAAATACTTTTATTTTCAATTTTATATGAAAGTATAAAAAGTTATTATAATTTTATGTATATGGCATCACCTGATTGTTTAAATTAACCAGTTGCTTCCTGGAAACTTCAAAAGCTAACTGAAGAAAACAAATAAATGCTATAAGGTAATTAGGTACTTCAATGATTTACATGCTTGCCATGGGCTGGAATAGCAAATGACAGAACTAAACCTGGTAAGAACTATGTGAGGAATTTTGCTAAGTCGTGAATACATATGACACAAATCAAACAATCACAGCAATAAAAGTATAACCAGAACTGTTTTTTTTTAATATGTAAAAGTTAACATTCCTATTTGCAGTTTTTAACCACAACCCCCCTGCAGAAAACAGAAAACTTTCAATAGCTTGAATAAAATGACCTTAAGTTAGTTTACCTCTGACACCGCTGAGATTACACATTGCAGCAAATACAGAAGACTCCATCTCTATGTTTCTGACACCAGAATCATAAGCTTCCTTCAAATATTGCAGTTTCTCTTCTTCAGTATATAAGCAGATTGCACCATCCAACCTGCCCTGTCCTACAAAGCAATTTTGCAGAAACATTCAGTGTGATGAAGTCACT